AAAGGTTGAGAACCCCTGTCCTAGACTGATGTCAACTGTCATCATAGACCGTCCGAGCGGTGCATTCCAGGCTCAAATCAAGCGCACCGCTGATTTTTTTTTCCTCCTTCAAAATATGCTGGTGTTGAAGCCGTGTCAGAAAAGAGGCAGACTGCTAAACCGCAAAACTTAGTCAGAGAGGGCATCAAGGCCACTGTGGCCTTATGGCAGATATCATTTTTAAGGGCACAAGGCCAAAGTGGGAGGGCACTGGGTACAGTGTAGGAAACGGTTTGGATTACATATGATGTCTATACGATCACGGATTTACTCGAACCATATGTTCCCACCCTCTGTGATGGATTCGGCTTTTAAGATCTGGAATAATGGGGGAATACGTAGTTTTGAAGATCTGTATATAAACAAGGTATTTGCCTCATTTAGTCAGTTGACAGAAACATTTTGTATTCCACCCGGCCATCTTTTCAGATATTTCCAAATTCGAAATTTCACACGTAGCAAATACCCACAGTTTCCAAATAAACCAGCAGAAACAACCTTAGATAGGATTCTTCGAATAAACGTGCAGAATAGAGGAGTAATTAGGGTGTTGTATAATGTACTTTCCTCCATGCATTCTCCCTCTCTTTCGACAATCAGATCTCAGTGGGAAGATGATCTAGCATTTGAAATAACAGATGATAATTGGCAATCCATCCTTCAAAGAGTTCACTCTTCCTCAATTTGTGCCAGACATGGCCTTCTCCAATTCAAGCCAAGGTATTACACCGCCTTCATTTATCAAAGGAAAAAAGATTTATCCAGGGGTAAATCCTTTATTCAACAGATGTAAGTCGGTAACAGGGTCCCTCATCCATACTTTCTGGACATGTCCAAATCTTCATAATTATTGGACATCTATATTTGATACGTTTTCTAAGATTTTTTAAGTAAAATGCACCCCTTCTCCTCTTACTGCAATTTTGGAGTCGTTCCGGACGACATTGTCCTTTCCAGACATTATACAAACGCTGATGCTTTTGCTTCCCTAATTGCTAGGCAATTTATACTTATGACGTGGAAGCAGGAGGCGTCTCCCACTCATGTCCATTGGGTGACAGAACTTAGGAAGTTTCTACACATGGAGAAAATAAAGTGTACTTTGGGTGGCTCCACTTATAAATTATATAGGACATGGCAACGATTTTTAACGTATATGGAAAGTTTGAAACTGCCTACTCTTCCTGATTCTTTATTTTAATTTTTTACATTTAATAAAAAACTGAATTAGAAAACCGATTTTCTATAATCAACCATGACTAACATGTCTTTTTTGGGGGGGTTAACAACAAATGGACAACCTGCACTTTTTTTTTTGTCACTGAAACTGAAACTGTATGTGTTGTTTAAGAAAATGGAAAATAAAGTAAAAGAAAAACGCCATATGTTCGCCATATGTTCCATATGTTCCAAACCAGATCAAGGATTATTTCTGAAACAGTATGGAGCTCAAATGCTTTTTCTCTTGCAGGTTTACCACAAGGTGAGTACCTTATTATATCCTGCTTTTTTACACATACTCTCTCCGGTACAGGTTAGCTCTGAGTGTTAGCGATTATTGCTAATGTAAACAAAGACCAGATTATTTCTAAAACACGTAGCTCATTGTTTCTGATAGCGACGTTTCTCATAGGGCCGTTGGCGTAAAGCCAGCACACATTTCCGATATTACGTCATATCGGCAGCAAATCTGGATCAGCTCCATTGTACCCCAGTTTTTAGAGATTTGGGTAAGGAAGAAAAGAGAGAGGGTTTTGTTTTCTGACGCTTTGTGAGTTCCCTGATACACCGGAGACACATATTTATGTATAACAGACATTAATGCAAATTAATCACATTTCCATGTTTTTGTCGATATTTTAAGTGTCGGATAATTGTCAGACTTCATGCCAACAATACAGAAATCATGTTATAATAAGGTTAAAACCGTCTAATTTCTCTTTCCAGTGTGTGATGCATGTCTTTATTACAACACCACACATGTTTTTGTCGCATCCCCTCCAAAAATACGTAAGTAAATTCTAGTATTTTAAACTTACTACTTTAATTAAATAATTTATCCAACATACATGTGTATTTTAACCACTACACCCAACACTCATTGCACACTGCAATATAAAACACAATATATTTCATTTCGACCTCTGCAGGATGCTTAATGTTGACTGAAAAACGACCAATACAATTGTTGCTAGTCAGAACTCTACTTAAGCTGCCACATGCACTGGTTATTTATGTTTGGTTTCAGAACAGAAGGTAGGACATCTCCAACACTTGATATCTAAATATGACCATTTAGTCAGTCAGTGTCCACAAATATCAACAGTATCTTCAGCAAAAGCTCTTTAGTCCAGGACTGATGCTATGTACTATAATGTTTTTACTGTTTAACCTGCCTCTGCAGATAAAGTAACCCAACAACAGATACAGTCATCCCACAACACAATCAAATGTCAGGGTGCATTAATGTGAAGACAGAAACACCTTCTAAATGTATCCAGACTGTAGAAAACATTCCACATCACCCCCATTATCGTATCATTAATGGACTCATCCAAACGGCACCTGGTCGGTACGGCAGGAACATTCCTATCAATCCGCGGTGAAGCGACTACAGACTGGCATGTTTTGTGTGCTGTGGATATACAGTATGTACCAGAATTTTTTTAATGTCCTATACCGCTGATAAACAACAACGTTTTGCAGTTATATGGATCAGACTGTGGACTGCCATACTTTAATATGAGTCAACTACACCTTCTAACAGAGGACAGGAACATCTAGATGCAGCACAACAGTATTCACATACACACTGTCCCTTATACAGTTGTGTAACTTTTTCAAAATGTTATTGAAAGTTTATTTTTCTTTAACATTAACTGCTGTGGCGAGGTATTAACTGAGATCGTGGTGGTCTTACCTTGCTGAGGTGGAACTCCAGTCGTCGGATGTACCGTTCTGTCACCTTCACTTGCTGGGAGGTAGGCACAGAGTCATTTTTATATCCAATTGGTCAACAAAGATTGGACTTTTTCCACAATGAAAAGTTTAAATAAAGGCTTAGGTCAGCGCTACAAAAAAAAGGCATATGCATACCAACATTTCCACAGCACACACAACGCAATCACACATATTTGATTTAAAGCCTGGAAGGAAGGGGCTTTGAGCAGTTTGACAGATTTTTATTGTGCAACAAAATGAATGTGCAGCGTGCTAAAAAATCCTGGAGACATAAAAGTTACTGTACATACTTTGCCTAGAGAAGCGAAAGTGAGATGGATCTGTTGTACTGATGGAATTAATACTGTGGACATTTAAATTACACTGAATTATCAATGCTGAAGGGAAACACGGAGAAATGATTGAGTCTGCATTAATAGCGTCTCACTTAAATAGAGAGTAGCTCACCTTGTCCAGCTCATACAGGAAACCCTGAAAGAAAGATACATTTGTTATTAAGTCGCAGCACAATATGATGTACACTCTTTATGTTAAGTAATATTTTGCTATTTCAGAACATTTTCATTTTTACAACCGGAGTTACCTTCAAGATGTAAATGTTTTGTTGTGCCAGCAGCTAATTTTGATATTTTTCTCAACTTTAAAAAGAGACCTTTTCAAAACCTCTGCCTGCAATAAGCCACAAAACTCAAGTGCTTCTGTCCACATAAAACATAAGAAAATGGTCATAGAATTAAACCGGTAAAGGAGCGTTTTCCTTTTCACCAGTAATGGCGAGCCAACAGAACGTACCAGTCTGGAGTTCCTCTTTGATTCTTTCATCTGTCGGCTGAGGCTGTCCGAGTCCATCTGATGGACCTGTAGGTAAGAGCTGAGGGAATAAACACTGGTTTAACATATACACATCACATTACTAATGAATTCTCATAAAAAAATATTTGTAAAGCTTGTTTCAGGTCAGAACATAAAAGCACACATTCACTATCAGGGTTTAAGCTTTTAAGAGTTTTGCAGAATTGAACCCAAATTGCTGAAAAAAACGTTTTAACGTAGATAAGGATACATTAACACATGTTATTACATAACTTAGGTGAATATTGCTTCTGATTGGTGAATTTGCACATTCAGTAGCCTGCTCGTCTTGGATAGCAAACCGCTGCTAATGAAGCTCTTATCAAGGGAGTATGTGTTATCATATAAATCCGCACAAAGTAGTCTGGTCAACTTAACATCAGCTCTGTACACAAAAACAGACCTTAGCTTTCAGTTTCTTTTCAGAAAACACCCCAAATACTTTGTGGGGATCATAACACTTTGGATTCAAGCCATTAAGAAAAAGAAAACAGCGCGAGAGAAGAACAGAGGTTAAAAAGTAGCAATAAGCAGGATCATGTGCAGCAAGCGTTTGTGTGTGTGTGTGTGTGTGTGTGTGTGTGTGTGTGTGTGCGTGCGTGCGTGCGTGCGTGCGTGTGTGTGTGTTTGTGTACTCACTGAAGGCCTTTTTTCAGCGCCTCATAGACTTGATCAAGTCTCTCTGGTTGGGGGACTTTGGGTGGAGGGTTGGACTTGGTGGACATGGTGAACATCGTGCTGGCTCTGCTGGGCTTCCTGCTGACGCCTGGAGTGCTGAACACTGAGAGGCTCCTGCAAATCAGAAACACCAACATCAGACATATGACATTCTCAGCATCACATCACACTGACACCATCAGAACACTGATCCTGTGCCACAACACATATTAAAGTTGTTCTATGTGTTGCTGGAGTTTTGAGCTCTTCAGACCTTTTCCCTTCTTCTGCACCTTGGAAGTAGCTGAAGTAGCATGTAAAGGGACGTTCTGTCCCTAGTGCAAATTGTTCATGTCTTAATTATATATTTTTCAAATTATGCTGTTTTGATATATATATTTATATATATATACAGTGGGGCAAAAAAGTATTTAGTCAGTCACCAATTGTGCAAGTTCTCCCACTTAAAAAGATGAGAGAGGCCTGTAATTTTCATCCTAGGTATACCTCAACTATGAGATAACAAAATAGAAGAAAAAAAATCCAGAAAATCCCATTGTCTGATTTTTAAAGACTTTATTTGCAAATTATGGTGGAAAATAAGTATTTGGTCAATAACAAAAGTTCATCTCAATAATTTGTTATATACCCCTTATTGGCAATGACAGAGGTCAAACGTTTTCTGCAAGTCTTCACAAGGTTTTCACACACTGTTGCTGGTATTTTGGCCCATTCCTCCATGCAGATCTCCTCTAGATCAGTAATGTTTTGGGGCTGTCGCTGGGCAACACGGACTTTCAACTCCCTCCAACGATTTTCTATGGGGTTGTGATCTGGAGACTGGCTAGGCCACTCCAGGACCTTGAAATGCTTCTTACGAAGCCACTCCTTCGTTCGGTGTGTTTGGGATCATTGTCATGCTGAAAGACCCAGCCACGTTTCATCTTCAATGCCCTTGTTGATGGAAGGAGGTTGTCACTCAAAATCTCACGATACATGGCCCAATTCATTCTTTCCTTTACACGGNACCCAATTTCGAAAGTACGGAATATGCTCTATTGGCTAAGTGCTCCTTCTGTTTTACCGCAGTAGGCTGATTCAATAAGAATCCAAGCTGGTGTCTCTGTAGAAGGAGCACTTAGCCAATAGAGCATATTCCGTACTTTCGAAATTGGGTAGGGCTAGCCCTCCTGATTGTTTTGTTCTTTGAAGGAAATCTTCACGAATCCTTGTTTGTTTTTTATTCCAAATAAATGCAGAAATATATTTGTCCAGAGCAGGGGTTTTCAAAGTGTGGGAAGGTGAGCCTCCCCTCAGAGAACATAAGAACAGCCGCGCCCCCCTCCCAAATATTATTGCTATTATTAATATTATTATTATTATTGTTGTTTTTGTTGCTATAATGCAGGGGTATTATTATCCAGTGAAATGACCTTACCACCTACTGGCCTAGTTAAATCAAAGTGGTTCCTTTTTTTTGACTGGGCAGTGTAGTTTTACACACCATCTTATTTGACTTTCTCAGGACTTAAAACAGTTTTTTGGGGGCAGACCCCCACAAAGAAAACAATATATTTACACACGTAAGGTCATCATCTTAACAGTTTTTTATGCTCATCGAGTCATCCGTGAGCAGAGCATCAAGTTGGCATGCCTATAACAGCTGAATGCGGCGATTACCATCTTGTTCAGCAAAACACCTCACAAAGTTATTAAGATCTAAAGCTTTAGTGCGTTTTGATTCAATGCTGAGTGCAGCCAAACTTGACAGTCTCTTCTCTTTCATTGTAGACCGCAAATACCTCATTCCTTCCGTCTACTTGGATCAGAATGGTTCTCGTTTTGTGCCGCCGCCGTCCCGTTAAAATCAAATAGCCGCCGATCACATTTCCACGCTCGCGGTGGATTATTACTGGTTATTATTATTATCGGTAGATCTGCCCCTGCTTGACCGGTATTTGCTTTTGATCAAAGTCAATGCGGAAAACCCGCACTCACACAGGTAGGCGGAGGAAGGGAATGAGCACTTTTACAGCCTTTTTGGTGAGGTGGGGGAACTCGGTCTCCACTGACAGCCAAAAGTGTGCAAGTGACGTTTTCTGCCAGGCGCTGTCTCCTCTCTCACTTTAGGTAACTTCACTAAAAATCAATCCATGTTGCCGCTCGCATAAAGTTAGCTGAAGTTAGATTTCACTGTTTCTCCCGATGCGCCTCCCCTGAAGCTCTCTGGCGCCGCCCCTGGGAGGCGCGCCTCACACTTTGAAAACCGCTGGTACAGAGTACTAAAATACTTTTTTGGTATACAAGTTGGAATACATTGAAACAAATATAAGAATTTAGGTAAGGTGTTCATTTTCACTACATTAATGCGTCCAATTAGCGATAATGGGAGATTGCCCAATCTCTGAAAATCTTTCTTAGTACGTTCATGAAGGGGGGTAACATTTTCCTCAAATAACTTTCTATACAGATTAGTAGCCTTGATGCCCAGATACGTCATGTGATCAGTTTTACCTTAAATTGAAAAGTTTCAAATGAAATTCCTCTGGCTATGATATGGCGTTTAATCACGGCAGCATTTAGCTGAGTATCTGCCGGTAGCATGGGCGTAGGAAGCATCCTGAATGTGGGGGGGACATTTTTAATGGGGGGTGTGGGGGTCCCCCACCTCGAAAAAAAACATAGATTTCCTGTATTCTGGTGCGTTTTAACAGGTGGTTTGATACTTTTATGTGGCTATACTAGCATGAGGAAAATGATGGGTACATTTTGTAATTTAATCCAGTAGTAAAGAAAGGAAACATATTTGATTATTAATTCAGAGCCATCTTTGAATTAATAAAAAGCAGTTTAAATGCCCATCTGTTGTACATTTATATACAACAATAAATATTTGTGAGTGCATTGAGAGATATTGTTGTGGAGAGTCATTTATATATAAATCGCAAAATACATTTGTGAATCCTTCTGTGAGCATTTATTAATATTGAGACTGATCTGACTCCATACGGATGTTAAGTTCACCTAGGAATGGTATCATTGACTTAAATGTTCAAATAAATGTTGCTCTTCTTTCTATATTGGTCATATGATGCCCCTTGACTGAAATGTTTCCTGTTCAATATCCCCACTGATTTCCTTAACATTCTGGGATGAGAGTCCACATCACAATTTACTCTAAACTGTAATTTCCCTTTCACCACTCACCTCAGCAATGGACCTCTCTCCACTTCCCCTGTGTTCTGCCTCTGACTCACTCTCAAGGGCCTAGATGTCAAGAGAGGTGGTGAAGTGATACTTATTTATTGAGCAGTATACTCTTTCACATTGAATCATAACAAGTCATACTGAATGTAAATACAACTGACTCTAAAGTAAGTCCCAGTCTGTGACATTGGACATTTTGAAGACTCAAAGTCCCAAGCAGGAGGTAGAATATTAGCTAGTCTATGTAATGTGCACAGAAAATAAATAGTTAACTGAATACTGGGATGGAAATTGCCTATAAGCACTCAATAAAACATAAACACACACAAAAAGCTTCTGAATGATAAGAAGTATAATTAAAACATAATGCACATTACCATTTTGAGAGAGAGNAATATTTAAAACCATATTATATTTTATGTTCTCAAAATGGAATCATCGCACGCACTCTGTTTTCCTCTTTGTCACTTTATTCCGTAAAAATATATTTCACTGTATCGTATATAATTTTTCAGCATACAGTACTTGGCAATATGCATGTGATCATGGTGACTTTAATTAGGGACACCAGACAGACCAAGGACTAACCTCATACTGGTTCTCCAGCACATTAATCTAGCTGAATCCAGCCAGCCCTGAAAGGGACAGGACAGAAGAGATGAAAGTCCTTTAGGAAGTTGAACTAAAGGCCAAGTATTTAGAAGCTGCTGGAATTAGTTCTGCCCTATGCAGCCATGCCTTCTTCCAGTTATCGTAGAACAACTCGCTAAAAAAATCATACATGTTTCAGCCTGGTAGTGTCCAATAGGGTTCCTCCTTTATGTATTTTAATATTGTTTCGTGATTTGTGGTATTTGTGGGTGAATTGTTTGTATTTTAGTGTATTTTTTTTTATGTTGTGTTGTGTGTATGTGGTAATAGTTTTGGTATGTGTTATCGTCATACTGGTGTGTGGTTGTTTTTTGTGTGTTGAGCACGGGTAATTCAAAGGTAAACAGTAGTCAAGAATTAGGATGGATAAAGGAGGGTAAGAAGCAAGGAGGGATGAGATTAAGGTGGGAAAGAAAGCACAGATGGTTTCTTCTCACCTTTCATCTTAATGGGAACTCTCCCCAGTGTTCTCCAAGTCGTTCCAAACATGCACATGTTCTTACGGAGAGAAAATATTTATTTACCAAACAGAAATATATTACTGAGCTGTAGTTTATAAAATTATCCACATTAGTAAGCTTTTTTTTATACTTTAATGTATTCCTTTACTACTGCTCATGCAGTGGTGGCAGTGATTATTTATTTAACGCAGACGTTATCATGCAGTGGCTCCCTCAACGAAATACAATGCCGTCTTTTCAATTCAATTTCAAATGTCAGAAAATAAGATTTTTTTCAGCAGGGGATAATAACACCTATTTTATAATTGTTAGCGTGAATAACAATCTCCAGAGTGAAAAGCTAACGTTAGGCTATAACCAAACTGCGTTGAACTTCATGTTCACCCACTGGTAAGCTAAAGGCAGCTTAACGTTGCTAAAGTATGCTGAATTAGTGCACTTTGTGGGCATACCGCCGTTTTTATGACACATAGAAGTTCCAGACTCTTGTGGTATTTAACCAGAGGTTGGATAAGTCCATACATGGCAAGTCATGAGCAAGTCTCAAGCCTTAACCTACAGTCTCAAGCAAGTCCCAAGTCACTGTGAGTGAAAAGTCAGCAAGTCAAGTCATTGGCCCAGCGTCCAAGCAAGTTCAGCAAGGTCAAGTCATACGAATCCTGATGGAATAACCCCAGTTTCCCGCATTTAAAAATCAGCTTAAAATATTGGTGGTTCAATGAAAAGTTTATTTTATATTTCACATAAACAACAGCAATGGAGATGTTGGGAGCCCTAGAAATTATTAACTCGTATAAATTCATAAAAGGGCTCTAAAGTGATAACGCGATATTTAATCATCAAACATGTTAAAGCCTCCTGCCCTGGCTCGCACTTCAGCCGTGGGTCACAGCATTTTTCTCCATGGTCCTGTCTAAGGTGCTCCATAATGTAACAACTGTCTCATTGTTTTCTTTACTGTGTCTGTGCACAAGAAATCATTGCATCAAAGCAAACACAACGGATACGTATCCGAACACACACAGAGAGGCTCAGCATAAAAAAAGAAAAGAGCACAAACACCACACATCTCGTGCCTTAAAGTGACCGGACATTCTCCTTCATAAAACGAGTATATGGGGGAGTTAATCGGACGCCAGTTTCGATGTGGTGTAGAGGGTGTTTGTGGTTAAAAACAAAGGCAGGGCCAGCGGTCGCTTTCAGCCTGTTCTAATGAAGTAAAGCCAGTGAATGGCGTTGCGAAAGGCAGCAGGCTCTTTGAGCCGCTGGTGGCTGGACTTCTCAGAGCAGTAGGTTTTAACTGCGCTTGCCCTCACTGGTGCTGTAGCGATTTCATGAAGTGAATGAGAGTCTGAGTTAGAAATATATCCAAAAAAATTGTATGCACTGCCATTTCCCAGGATAAACATTAACAGTCTGCAATTGAAAACTGTTGTCTCTGTGTGCTCCCACTTCCTACTTGGGGCGCTTCCGGTAACTTTCTCGTGGCGAACGAGAAAACAGCTAATCTTTTTTTTTTTTTCATTGCCGCCTTTAGGGGGCTCCGTCACAATAGCCAACAGAAGCAATATTTTAAAATTTTAAAAAGTAAAGTTACTTCGAGTCAAAGCAAGTCTCAAGTCATGAATAGCCAATTCAATTCAAAGGTCTTTAAGTCAATGTTTAAGTCGAACGGCAAGTCTGGAGTTCCAAAAATAATGTCGACTCGAGTACTACTCGAGTTCCAAGGTTTCAATGTAGACTCAACGAGTGCCCCACCCTTCGTGTATTTCTAGTGACACATTTCAAATTTCCCTAAGAACAAAACATTAACATCTTCTTTTTGCAGTTGTGGTTAACGCACAGACCGTGCATTTCAGGCATTCGTACCAAAACCATGTTTAAAAAAAAGGATGACTGGGGGCTCAACAACAAAACTGGAAGTGGTTAAATGCATTGTCAGGGGTTTTAGGATCATTCTCCTATTGCATCACTCCAATGGCCCTTGTTGCTACCTCAAAATACATTTAGCAATTGTTCTCATCCTATCGTTATTCCACTTTTTCATCCATCGTCCACTTCCTCCGTCCTCTTCATCTACCTTCTGTGTACTCTGGTTGTATATTTGTTGGACTTCTGCTAAACTGCTCCTTGGCCTCCCCTTGCTGCTCAGCAGAAGGTTGGGTAAGCCTTCAACCCATCCTTGTTCGCCTCCGTCTCTAGAGATCTCCTTCTGCAGGCAAGTTACGCTTCCTAGAGCTTCCTCGATCTGCGGAAAAAAGAGGGGTAAAACACGTTCATCTCCAATCAAAGTAGACATAAGCCTCGATGGACAGATGTAAAGTGAAAACATGCAAGTCTCCAAAAAAACTGTATTTTCACCAAAAGGAGAAAATATCTATTGCATCATATTGTAAAGTGGCCTACCATGCTATATTTGAATAATATAGTGTAGGGGACCATACCATATAAGAATATTTATACTTTTTATTTTTCAAATACCAAACAGATCATGGCATTTTAGCTATTCCTCATTTTGCTCAATTTAACACTGTCTTTGCATGGGCTGAGTTCTGTGGGAACAGCCACATTTACAGGCCGGCATATGTACTACAGCGCTCCAGCACTTTCGATACGCAATGTCCGTGGCTGTCTCCTCCTGATGTGGAGTGGCCCAATAGCCGTAGCGCCAACTTCTGTGACGTCACAGAAGTGGTTCAAATCTGGATCAGTCTGTATCAGATCCGTGCAGCCCCTTTTTAGAGATTTTGGGTATGGGAGGAAAATAGAGAGGGTTGGTTTTCTGACACAGGGGGACCCATATTCATGCTATAAAAACGTACAAAATTGCATTTTGCATGATAGGTCACCTTTAAATATGTGCTATTCTAAAACATTACATTAAACATTTAAAATAAAATCACATTTAATTTAGGTGGTCATAAAAGAGTTAGCACACAAATAACCTAAAATCCTTGATGCGTGAAAAAATATGAAAGGTCTCCTCATTATACTATTTTTTAGGCATATATTATAGGTCTCGGATATATACAAATTATCCGAGACCTATAATATTATGCCTAAAAAATAGTATAATAGGAGACCTTTCATATTTTTTTCACGCATCAAGTGATTTAGGTTATTGTGAGTGCTAACATCTTTAGATGACCAACACTAAATTAAAATGTGAATTTTATTTTAAATGTGTAATGTAATGTTTTAGAAATTGCACATATTTAAAGGTGACCTATCATGCAAAATGCACTTTTGTACGTTTTTATCCATGGAATATGTGTCCCCTGTGTTCAGAAAACACAACCCTCTCTATTTTCCTCCATACCCAAATCTCTAAAAGGGGCTGCAACGGATGCTGATACAGCTGATCCAGATTTGAACACTTCTGTGAGTCACGAAGTGGCCGCTTTATGGACTATGTGGGCCTACTCACCAATCAGGAGGAGACAGCCCACGGACATTGCGTTTCGAAAGTGCTGGAGACGCGTTGTAGTACATATGCCATGCCTGTAGATGGCTGGCTGGTTCTCACGAATCAGCCCATGCAGAAGACAGTGTTAAATTGAGAAAATGAGGAATAGTAAAATGCATGATCGTTTGGTATTGTGAAATAATAAAAAGGTATAAAATTTTCTATATAGGTATGGTCCTACACTATATTATTCAAATAAGCATGGATAGGTCCACTTTAATATGATGCAATTAGATATTTTCTCCTTTTGGGAAAATACAGTTTTTTGAGAGACTTGCATGTTTTCACTTTACATCTGTCATGAGCTTATGTCTACTTTGGTTGGAGATGAACTGTGTTCCTCTCCGCAGATCGAGGGCTCTACGAAGCGTACTGCCTGCAGAAGACTCAGAGACGGATGCGAACAAAGATGGTGAAGGCTTACAGCCCACCTCTGTGAGCCAGCAAGGAGGGCCAGAGGAGAGTTTAGCAGAAGCCCAACAAAGGATACAAAGAGTACACAGAGTAAGATGAAGAGGACGGAGGAGTGGGGTGGAATGAAAAAGGGAATAAGATAGGATTGAAGAAATTGTAAATAGTATTGAGGAAGAACAGGGCCATGGAAGTGATGGCAGGAATGAGTCCTAAAACCCTGAAAAGCATTTAAACCACTTCCGGTTTTGTTGTTTGAAGTCACCTTTTTTTAAAACATGTTTTGGTTAGATGCCTGAAATGACGTCTGTGGTTAACACAAAACTGAAGAGATGTAATGTTTGTTCTAGGAAAATGAATGTGTCACTAAATATCCAGAGTGGGGACTCCGAGTCACTATGACTTGACTCGATCAGACTACGAGTCGCATATTTTTTGGACTTCAGACTTGCTCGACTAACATGATAAAAGACTTTGAATTGACTTGGTATTCATGGACTTGAGGGGCTTGACTTGATCGAAAGAACTTTACTTATTTAAATATTAAATATTTGCATTGTTTTTGTATTGTACGAGCCCTAAAGGGCCAATGAAAAAAAAAAAGTCGAGTCGCATATTTTTGGACTTGAGACTTGAGACAGTTACCGGAGCGGCAAGTAGGAAGTGGAGCACACAGGAAACAACAGTTTCATTGCAGACTGTAATGTTTATCCTGGGAAATGGCAGTGCATACATTATTTTTGATATATTTCTAACTCAGACTCTCATTCACTTCATGAAATCGCTACAGCACCAGGAGGCAGCGGGACGTGTAACTCTGCCTCTGAGAAGTCCAGCACCAGCGCTCAAAGAGCTGTGCCTTTCGCAACGCCTTCACTGGCTTTACTTTCATTAGAACAGCTGAAGAGCGACCGCTGGCTGCTTTGTTTTAACCACACACACCTCTACACACATCGAACTGCCCGATTAATCCCCCTATTACTCGTTTTATGAAGGAGATGTCCGGTCACTAAGGCGCATGATGTGTGTGTGTTTGTGCTCTGCTGAGCTCTCTGTGTGTGTGTGCATACGCTATTCCGTTGTGTTTGCTTTGATGCAATATTTCTTTGTGCACAGACACAGTAAAGAAAACAATGAGACAGTGTCATATGGGAGCACCTTAGACAGACCATGGAGAAATGCTGTGACCCGGCTGAAGGGGAGCCAGGGCAGGAGGCTTAACATGTTGATGTAAAATATCCAGTTATCACTTTAGAGCCCTTTTAGAATTTATAGAGTTATAATTTCAGCGCCCCACTCTCCATTGCTGTTTATGTTGAAAATAAAACTAAACTTTTCATAACCACAATATTTTAACTGATTTAAATGCGGAAACTGGGGTTATTCATCAGAATTTCGTATGACTTGACTTGTGACTTGCTTGACCTGAGCAATGACTTGACTTGCTTGACTTTCACCACAGTGACTTGGGACTTGCTTGAGACTTGTAGGTTAAGGCTTGAGACTTGCTCATGACTTGCACATGTATGACTTACTCCAACCTCTGTTAAATACCCAAGATGTCTGAAACTTCTATGTGTCATAAAAACGGCGGTTGCCAACAAGTGACTAATTCAGCATACTTTAGCAACGTTAGCTGCCTTTAGCTTACCAGTGGTGACATGAAGTCAAACGCAGTTTGTTTATAGCCTAACGTTAGCTTTTCACTTCTGGAGATTGTATTCACGCTTAAACAATTATAAAATAGGTGTTATTATCCTGCTGAAAAAAATCTTATTTTCTGAACTATTTGAAATTGAATTGAAAAGACGCATTGTATTTCGTTGAGGGAGCCACTGCCATGATAACTTCTGCGTTAAATAAAATAATCACTGCACCACTGCATGAGCAAGTAGTAAAGGAATACATTAAAGTATAAAAAAAGCTTAACTAATGTGGATAATTTATAAACTACAGCTCAGTAATTCATTTCTGTTTGGTAAAATAAATATTTTCTCTCCGTAGAACATGTGCATGTTGGAGAACGACTTGGAGAACCATCTGGGGGAGTTCCACATTAAGATGAAAGGTGAGAATGAAACCATCTGTGCTTTCTTCCCACCTTAATCTCATCCTCCTTGCTTTCTTCCCTCCTTTATCCATCCTCTTCTTGAACTACTGTTTACCTTGACTTACCCGTGCCTCAACAAATATCACTCAACTCTGGAGAAAGAGTTCACACTCCACAACACCCTGGTGATGAGAGGCTGGCGTAATAAAAAAAATGTTTTGACAGAACTATTTTTCATGAATTATTGTCAAGCCTTTTAATCTCCACATTTGGCATGCAGCATCTTTGGACTCACATTTTTGGGAAAAAGATTATGATTACACCTAATCATTTCACTGCTATAGTTGACTTGCAGCTACTCTGTCAAATTGAAAAGTGAACAAACGCTCAGATCATCAATCTGTTATTTTGTCTTTTCTGAAACAATATTAAAATACATAAAGAGGAACCTATTGGACACTACAGCTGAAACATGTATGATTTTTTTAGCAGTTGTTCTACGATAACTGAAGAAGCATGGCTGCCATAGGGAGAACTAATTCAGCAGCTTCTAAATACTTGCATTTAGTTCAAACTTCCTAAAGGACTTTCATCTCTTTCTGTCTGTCTTTCAGGGCTGGCTGGATTCGCTAGATTATGTGCTGGAGACCAGTATGAGGTTAGTCTGTCTGTCTGGCTGTCTAATTATAAGTCACCATGATCACATGCAATATTGCCAAAGTACTGTATGCTGAAAAAATTATATACGATACAGTGAAATATATTTTTACGGAATAAAGGACAAAGAGGAAAACAGAGTGCGTGCGTATGATTCATTTTGAGAACATAAAATATAATATGGTTTAAATATTGGGAGCACACTATTTTAAAAATACATGCAAATGTTGTTGTTTTGTCAGTTTGAGGGAGTATCTCTCTCTTTGTGTTATCTACCACCTAATGTATGTACATTCATAGTGAACGTTCAATGAAAATATTAAATCAATCAATTAAAACATCCTCAAAAGTAAAAAAATGATGAGGACTGTGAGCACAAAGTATACACATGGCTCATGTGTGAAGTAAGACTGGTGTGTGTGTGTGTGTGTGTGTATGTGTGTGTGTGTGTGTGTGTGTGTGTGTGTGTGTGTGTGTGTGTGTGTGTGTGTGTGTGTGTGTGTGTGTGTGTGTGTGTGTGTGTTCTCAGATCTTTATGAGGTACGGTCGTCAGCGGTGGAAGCTCCGAGGCAGGATCGAGCTGAACGGCAGACAGGTGTGGGACAGCGAGGACATGGTGTTCCTGCCGCTCGTCAGCGACTTCCTCTCTGTGAAGGTCAGTCAAGTCCAATAGTTTAATGTGGGACTTCTGGTCTGTTCCTGGTCCCATTGTGTTATTTTTTTTACCGGTGAGTCAGTCCTATCTTTCACTTTCTGTCTTGCTTTAATTTCTCTGACGCCAACAGTGTATAATTGACATGGCTATATGTCTGTGGTCTCCTAGGTGACAGAGCTGAAGAGCTTAGCCAATCACGTGGTTGTAGGAAGTGTTTCCTGCGAGACGAAGGACCTGTTTGCTGCACTCCCCCAGACGGTTGCTGTGGATATTAATGATCTTGGGACTATTAAGCTGAGCCTGGAAGTCACCTGGAAGTGAGTTTTCCTAAACATGCTGCTGTAAACTGAATATTATAATGAGCTTAACGAGTACTCTACTTTTTGTCCAAGAGTTATTTATTAAATAAACATAGTGATGCATAATTGAGTCATACAACTCGGACATGACATAGCAGTTTAGCCTTGTAGCCCACACATTTTTTTCAATACGTTTTGGTCAAATGTCTGACAAAAGGCGTGTGGTAACAACACCCTTAGGCTTATTTGTCTCGTAAAAATAAACAAACAAGGGGCTAAATGCGACTGCTAAATGCTAAATGTCATCATGTCAAACATGAGCTGCCTTTAGCTTAGCGGTGGTTACATGAACTTATGCAACAGTGATGTAGTTAGCTTAGAGCCTTACCTTACCCTTTTACTTCGGGCAATAGCATTTAGGTTTCAACTGATGTAAAAATTAGTTAATATATGGAGATAATCCTGTTGAACAAAACATGTAAGTATCCCAAACATGTTTTTGACAAATCTTATTTTTTACAAAAATCCAATGGAAAAATCCCATTGTTTTTTTGTCATGCCATGCTAACGTCCATGTTGGCCAACAAAAATACATCCTCGCTGCACCATTCTATTGCTTTAATATAATATGAAATGTTATGTTGTGATTCCCCTTCCTCACTTATTATTTCCCGCTCTTTCAGTCCATTTGATAAAGATGACATGGGGTCAGTGGCCAGCACCGTCACCAAAGCTCCCACCATCAGTAAGAGACTCTCCACCATCTTCAACCAGAGCCCGCCAGACACGCCCTCTCTACGAGAACAAGCCTTCTATGTAAGCCCTTCTCTATTCTGGTGGCCTCTCTTTGAACCTTCTTCTTTCCACAGTAAAATTTTAACTATGCTTATTAGATAGTGACTCTGGAGTATAAGCTTAAAGTTGCTGGTATTTTGTGTGATATTCACTGTTTTTTTATTTAGTCATTAAATGAAACACCTAAATGCAAGAGGTGCAGACAACTGAGGGATGATCATAGACTCTTCATTTAGTATGTTTCTGGCCTTTTAGCCTAGTGTTTGTAGATTTCATATAAATTCTGAATCAGAATTAGTTTTATTGCCAAGTAGGTTTGCATGTATAAACACAGTGAGAGGAATTTAACTACAGGAATAATTGTTAAATAAAGAAGAGCAAAAATAGAACCATTACAGCATTTTTAATTTAAATTTAAATTGCAAAGAAAAAAAGTTTACAAGAAATATACAAATAAGTAGGTAAAATAACCATACAACAATTAACCCTTAAACCTTGAATTAACAAACAAAACAAGAAACAACCGAGGGTAACACAACAAAGAGGCAGCAATCTTGGATCGTCCTAGGAAATTTATTTGAAAATCCAAGCAAAAACGCCCATATCAAAAAAGGATTTAGATTCATTACATGTCTGGAATTGGCTGAAAAGGGAACAGTTGAAATCTCATGGTTTAGAATGAAAGTGTAACTGCTGCTGCCCTCTGTCCTCCTGCTGTGGACCCACAGTCTCTGCCCCGCAGTCTGAGCCGGCGGCAGCACTGGCCGCTGATGGACATCTTCAGAGACACTCTTAGCCACAGCTGTCCCTGTAATGACAGCTCACCCACAGGACCAAGTGCAGTAAGTCCTGATAATTGGAACCCCCCAACCATGTAGGAGCCACTGGTGTAGTGACTAGAGACAGTGGTGTAGAACATTAGAAACCTGTAACAGTAGTCTCCATGTGTTGAATGTAGCTTCGTGGAGCCATGCGGTATGTTTGCACAATTTCCAAACAGTTGATATCACTGAGTGTCAGCTTCCATTTGAGGGCAGGAGTTAGAGGAACTAGGAACCTGCAGCTGTAGGGTTTGGTCGAACTGAAGGTCTGCAGTCATACCTCCCAACAAAACTAAACCATACATTAGGCCCCCCTGGTATGAACTCGTAATGAGGAACCTTTAAGTATCGTGAGCCTATAATTCTGTATATTTAACGAGTTCAGATTCTACTCATCTTCAGCTTCATATCAGTATGTATTGTCTCTACTGTGACATGTCTCCATGCTTTAATGTTCAAATAGTCTTTATTTTTCTCATACTTCCTGTGCTGCAGCACCTCTTTTCACTCTCTGTCTGAAAACAGAGCCCAGTCTGCTCTGATTGGTTAGCTGGCCGGCTCTGTTTTGATTGGTCAACCGCTTAGAGATGTCCTGCCTCCAGCTTATCACGTACAATGTGTTGGAGCGCTAGCCAATAGAAGCACATGTGTTACATAGTGATGTCACCATGTTCTTGAATTAAACAAAGGAGTCCAATGGAGGCGTTTCAGAACACAGGCATTTTAGCCTTTGCAGACCATATACATGCACTAAAACCTATATAACACACTACAGGAAAGGGTAAACTCCAAAAGCTATATATTTATTTATATAGTACCTATATATAGGAACTTGGAACGACCAGTAGCGACACATCTGAGTATCTTAGGTTGCAGAAGGGACATAGAACAGTAAGAGGTCTGACAAATAACTCGGGGAGAGGCCTAGTTACAGGGCTAATTGTAACTAATAAAAAAATCCTAAGATTTGCAGCTACTTGCAGCAGGTCTCCCTTGAAAAAGAGATCGATGATCTCAATGGGATTCACCTGATTAAATAAAGGTTTGAAATGAAATGAAATTGGTTCTAAAAGCAACAGGTTGCCAGTGTGAGGAAGCCAGAATCTCTGTGATGTCGTCATATTTAAAGTTAAAATCCTAACAGCAGAGTTTTGGACCGGCTGGAGGTGGGGATGAAATTATGGATTACATTTTAGAAAATATGACTGCAATACTGGGTTTTGGACAGAGAACCAAGACTGTTTGTTATTTTGGTGACTGAACTATCATCTTGCCAGGTAATCATTATTTCTGTCCTATCAGCATTAAGCTGCAGGAAATGTTCCACTTGCGGATGTCCTGAAGGCAGTTTAGCAGGATGACAGTGTTCTGAAAGTTATTGTGAGTTATGACACTGTAAAACCTGCAAGACTGCAAAGATTAAGAATATAGAGAAACATATTGTGGCAGTAGTTGTGAAGGATAGATAATGTTGATGATAAACTGTACTCACCTAGTTACTGCTGAGATCTGAGAAACAGTCTGAAGAAAAACCAGCTTCAACTTCTGCCATCCATTACAACAATGTAGTCTGCTAAATATTACTTTATACTCAATACTGATAACTGAAAAGGAATCCTTACATTCCCAATAGAGCAGCTTTAAAACAGGTCCATTAATTTAGCACATTGCTCTGTTTATATTCAGTACAGTGTGATTTACACTTTCTGAAACTCACACACACTTGGGAGTGTGTCCACTCAGCTTGTTTGCATATCAGTTCTCTGTTGGTTGTTCTTGTTCAGGGTACTCAGTTTTCTACAAAGCGTGGTCAGTGGAGCAGAGTAGGGACAAAGCAGAGTGGGAACTGAACTGAGGATAATTAATGATTTAGTATTTGCCAGATTGTTTAATCTGAAACACCCTCCAATTAAACCAACACATCAGTTGATCGCTGTTTACAGCATGTGAAGTGTGACTGATCAGCAAAGTGGAAGAACCCAGAGTGATACTCAGTGAGAATGATCAGGGGGGGCAGACTGTGTGAGATGTGTGAAGCAGTTTGTTCTGTGATCAGTAAATCACTCGATCCAGGGTGGAAGAGAGGCTTTTTCGTCGAGTAGTCTCCAGGATTTTTAATAATGGAAAACAATTGAGGTTTCCAGGTTAATGGATTTCTCTGAAATACAAATGGTAAATGGACTGCATTTATATAGCACTTCTTAGCAACTTCTCAAAGTGCATTTAATAAAGTCAGCAATCACCTTTTACTTTCACACACAGAGGCTGCCTTACAAGGGGCCACCTGCTCAGGGAGCAAGGCAAGGCAAGTTTAGTTATATAGCACCTTTCAACATAAGGCAATTCAAAATGCTTTTCAAAAATGAAAGACATTAAGAGCCTTAAGAAATATTGCTGTGGTAACACATTATGAAATGGCATTTAAAAACAGTCATTAAAAAGCAAAGATAATCAACTAAACATAAAAAATACAAGAATAAAATGGAATATGTGGATATATCTGCTCCTTCTCAGTATCCCATCAGCCTTCCCTCTTACACTGCTGCTCTCTTCCAGAACATGCTGCGGCGTCATGAGGACATGGAGAACGGAACAGCGTGGTCCAACTCCTCTGAGTCTTCTGATGACTCCTCCAGTCCTCGGCTGTCTGTGGGGGGGCTACGCACCTCTACGCATCATAAGGTAACACACAACGTGTACCCGTGTTTGTATTTTTACTATAATTGAATCTACTTCATCATTATCTTTCCTAAGGATTGGTTAGCTAGATCGAGAGTGGAAGGAACATTTCGAACATGTTACTAACTCCTGTTGGCTGGTCAACCTAAACTACCTCATTTAGGCGTCTATCAGAGGTGGTAGAAATACTCAGACTATAATTAAACATTTTATGTTACACTGAATCCTTTTTACACTTTACTATGAGCAGAGGTGGGAGAAGTACTCAGATGTTGTACTTCAGTAAAAGTCGAAGTAACAGAGTTTAGGAATACTCTGTTACAAGTACATTTCTGCTGGATATATTTAATTGTCACAGTACAGAGCACACTTTTACACTGTTTACAATGTTTACTCTGTTTGTTTTAGGTGCTCTGAGGGTTTAATAACAACCAAGTCGACTAACAGAGCATTTAATCAAGAAAGGCTTTGCATGTCAAACAGCATAACAAGGATGCAGGCCTCACACAATGCATTGTTTGTTGCTGTACACCTGAAAGATATTTTCATATGCAATTCTGTTTAATACAATCTCAGCCTTCCATCACTTACTAATAAATGTTTCCTTCCTTATTATATGCATGGGCACCAGCGTTTTAATTCACAGTTCAATCCTGTCTCTCGACTTGCTGCCTGTAAGCTTTAGAACAGATAGGACCTGCAGCTCACCACTTTAGGACCTTTAGGAAAATTGGTCTTAAATATGACTTAACATTAATGCATTAACAATATTAGTTGTTTAACGCATTAATAATCAATATGGATCTAGCATAACAAATACAATTGAATCTGTTAACATCTAAATTAAAAATGTCGATTGGGTAATGTACAGAAGTGAAAAGCTCATACGCAAACTCACTTGCTTTGTTCTGCTTGCAGTATTGAGAGGGAAATAAGGGAGTGACCGGCCTGAAGGGCGGAGATTTATTAGCTAGGGTAGGGGTGTGGTCTATACTTGATTGACAGTTGAGGTGGTGATGCAGGTATGGAGGAGAGTTTTGAGATTTTGAACAACCTCCCTCAACATTACACAAGTATTAATAAATTAATATTCTGATTAATAACACAGTGCACACACCAGCCTACGCCTTTTTCCCTTAATAAATCACAATCAACTTTGCAAGATTCCCGTTATGCCCACAGTAGCCTATATCAGAGTTCCCGTTAGAATATTTTTTGGCCGGTCAACATGTCCGTTAAAGTTTAAATCTTCCGGACTAAATGAGAAAAGTGCCGGTCAAAGGTCTTCTTTGTTATTTATTGTGCTTTAAAACAAATTGATATGATTTGATATTAAACAAACTAATTATAGTAGATTAACTACATTATTCAAAAGTGAACAGTAACTTATAATAACACGGGAATAATAAACGGAGCGCTCTCTCCCTCTCCTGACAGCCCGTCAGTATCATGCAGCTCGCGGATCAGTAATGAGTGACCCGACAGTAAAGCTAAACATATCTATAACTAGTTTAGGTAGTTTGAGAGCTAATTAAAATAGCTACGTGTGATATTCTAACCTGAAATGTGTGTTTTGTCCGCTCACCGCTGCATGTGATCATGCTGCGTGTCGACTCGTCAGCAGCAGCTGATCTCTCTCTCCCGTCAGATTAGACTTCACTCGCGTTTATGTCCATATTGACCAGATCTAGCTAGTTCTAGCTAATGATATGACTACCTGCTTATTAAAAGACACCTAAACAATAAGCGTTGCTATGCAACCGGGTGAGGCCACAAAGTCTAGCGCAGCATTATGCATTTGTTTACATGCCCACCGGAACCCCGAGGCATTACCAACAGATCAACGCACAATCAACCCATACAGGACATCTCTTTCTCCACATTAAGTGTTAGACATTAGAATTGACTATTCTTATCTGTCACATACTGTTCTTGTCTGTCACATAAGTGGCACAACTGATGCGGTATTCAGTGTGAGAAAAAGTTTTTAGAGAGTACTTGTCCATGGACAAGTGAGTTTGGCAATTTACTTGTCCGAATACATTTTTC